TTCAATAATTAATTTAAAATTAACCTTCCTGAGAGTGGTATTTAAATGACTTAGTTAAATTAATTGACATTTTTAAACTCTTTTTCTTTCCTTTTCAGTCAGCAATCAAAGGTCTTCAGATGAGCGGCCTCAACATCGTATCTGTGACTGACAACACCCCTGTGTCTTGGAATCCACCTCGTGCCAGAAAGCAACGAAAATTGTGAGAATGTGCTCCGAATTTTTTGAGATATATTCTGTTTTTGGACAATAATTTAAACAACAGAATGAAGTTGTGTGAATTGAAAAAATGTAGGAATTATATTGTTTTGTAATGTTATTAGATAAACATTAAACTGGAATTTGTTGTACTAATTTTGTGGTAATTTGCACCTTCTCATCACTTTGATTTGTATGTTACCATGAGAGTGTCGCAGTCTCAGACACAAGTGGTTAGCCTTTATGCAAGCTCTTTGGTGGTTCAGAGGCTACGTTTCACTTTTATAGGAAGTTTTAAGGCACAAAAGTCGATATTCCTCATAGGGAATATTTGCAGAAATAAGAAGAAAAATCCCATCATAATAGTGTTTTCTGTTGTGGTAATTTTTCAAACGACGAATATTGTATTTATTTTGTAAATACTTGGAAAATAGAATTATTTTAGCGTGAGCGTATTTTCGGAGGTGCACGGCATTCAAGTCTGGCACGTAACCTGCGCTAAGCATGCTGGGTAGTGGCCTGGGAGGAAGAAGGCAATATGGCCGGTTGTAGTGCAATGCAGTTAAGTAGGGAGGAGTGACGAATATGTGGTTCGATGATTCGCGATTTAAATATTTGTGTGTAATTTAGTTTTGAGGAGTTGGAGTTAACATCGTAAACTATAATTCGCTGTTTTTATACTGATATATAGCTAATTTTTAATAATAGTTCCTTTCGCCTAAAGAGACACGAGTCGTGTGAATTTGGCAAGATGGCAGCTAAAGAGCTGTGACGAAGGGAAAATCTTTCGTGAACTTGGTGTTTTCTGTGCATTTATTGAGCTCCAATGTTACATTTAGGAGAAGATTAGTAACACCCAAATAGGATTTTTGGATTTTCGTGAGATAATCAGTTTTTAATATATTATTTTGTCGAGGAGCAATAGGTTCTTGACCAAGACCATGCGACAGGTAAGGTTTAATTTATTACATTGTTATTACAGTTTCTTTTTGTAATTTGAATTATGCTGATTTTATTTTGTTTCTTGACTTGTATTGATATTTTCCAATGTCCGTACGCTTCACGTTCATCCATTTCTTTGTCATTACAAGGTCTCTATTCAGCTGTTAAGAACGTTATTTTCATGTATATTTATTATTTATTAATGCTTTTATCATTTTTTTGTGTAGCAGACTTATTTTACTTCGTAAGGCAGTGGTTGTCATGATTGAAAATTTGTTATATTTCCAGAAAATTGGGGTAGTTTGAAGTGCATCTGAGGCATGGAGTTTTGTTTACAAAGCTTAATTTGCCAATATTTGTTCATAATAATGTGTGTTCCACGGTTTTTTCTTGTTGGGAATGTCCTCCATACATAAGGGAATCTGATGGGCAAGGAACAAAGAAATTTTGAGATGGACCCTTTTTTGCAATTTTAGCTTAAAGATTGACTTGTTTCTAAAGAAAGCCCATATGTAAGGAAGTGCTGAGATGATTGTAATTTATTTAATACGTACTAATGTGGAGCTTTTGGGTACAGGAGAATTAATGTGTATGGTTAATAAATTTTCTTTCTGCAATGTTAGTATTTGTGTGGATACCAGAAATTGTTAATCAATTGGTATCCAAACGGTGTAAACAAAGGCTCATGGCTGTATAGTACATTTAGGTTAAATATGTTCTCAATGGTTTAGCACTGTTTTCTTTAAACATGGTTTCCAGTGCAGAGATAAAAATAATATAAAATGTTCCTTTTTTTTTTATTTGTCTAATTTGTGAGTTGATATAGTTTGTTCTGAACTGAGGCATAATTGTTATGGTCCTTACTTTCTGAACGCTTCTTATGTGTTTGATATAGTGAACAGGTTGATTGTTCTCATGCCACCATAAATCAGTGGTTCATGCATTGAAGTTGAATAGTTCTGATTATCTATCTGAAGGATTATTTTGCCAATATTGATCCTGAAGATGTTATACAAAATATAATATTCCAATTGAATGCCCTTATTGTCAAATAATTATTTTAAATTGTGACAACAGAAAAGCAGAATAGAAATGTTAGAATCTTCTCATCATTAAATTAAATTCAATAGCACTAAAGTAAGTTTAGTAGTATTACTGTTTACATTTAATTTGAAGTTGAAGCCAGGAATCTTAATTGCTTTTATTTAATGTAGAGTTGATATTTAAATACTGGTACTGTCAGTTAGCTATGGAATTAAAGAGTAGATAACCCATTTTTAATAAACTGTTGGAAATAAATAAGTATTGTCTTTGAGATATGTGTCTGTACTATTGCCATATGACAAACTTACTACCCCATTTGTATTTCACTAGGAATAAATGTTCTTTCACACATTGCCACAGTATCTTAATTCCTCCAGGTCAGTTTTAGGCACTCATTCAAAATATTTTAGTTAGTAGTTGGGGAATTTGTCACACATGCTGTTTAAAATTTGTGGGGTTCCAATATTTTGAAAAATTATTGCACATATGTAATGCACTTAACTAAATAGTTTTGAAAACTCAAATTTTTGTATTTCACATCTTTTGAATTTCTTAGATGATAATTCAGTTTGATATTTCATTAGATTTTCCTAAGGTTAAATAGCATTTGAAATCACTGGAATTTCTTTTACTGGTATAGTTTTTAAAATATAAATTTCAAATGTAGAAGAGATTGGTAATTATCAGTGTGGAAAATGTTAATCTAAATGATCTCTGAAAGTGGTGATCCATCTTTATATTCCTTCAAGATAACCCATACTAGCTCTAATGTGAAAGTAAATTTGTCACCTCTTGATTAATACCACAAACTTAGATTTGACCCCGAATTGTCGGGGTATAATAGTTATAATTTTTATTCTCGAGATAAGTGAGTTTAATTGAAAAGCCATGGAATGTTATCTCTTGTGAATAACATTAGAAAAACAAAACAATTAACAGCCTGTCACACATCGATCTAATCCAATTGAAGTAGTTCGTTGTACTGTGCGATTTGTACATATTCAATTTGTCCAGTATATTTTAAGGCATTCACGTACGGAAGATTTGCACATTTTTTTGTAGCAATTGTATTATATGGCTTTTGTTTTGGGCATTGAAATTCCTGGTGTAATATTACCAAATGTTTAGTAAATGTGGTTTACTATTGCCGAACTTTTTATATCAAATCAATATTTGTAGATGCACGTAGAGCAAAATGATAGTGACCTTGGTGTCCGCCATTTTGGCGGAGTTACTTCTGTATGTGCAATTCACTTTCGGCGAAATACAATTCGCTATAAATCACTGAACCATATACCGTTAATTTTGATTACATTGTATTCCGTAAGTTTCATTGCTATTTACCAAAATATAACGGACAATCCCTACCATGAAACGTTCCTGGAAATAAATGGATTATGACGCTATAACTCCCTTTTCATTGACCTGGCATATTCACACGCTTTCTCTATTTTTGGAGAAGCGTACCTTGCCCTCAGATTCACCAATGCCCTGCGTTCCTGGCGCGGATATTTTTGTTGGTAGCAGGTAATATTTAAAGACCTATTTAGGATGCCAACGAGATGTTTGTTTTGTGGTGTGAACTGCCACTCGCGTGGCAGATAGCAAATGCCAGCACGCGAAAGCCCTGACTAAGCCTTTTGACGTATTGTGAAATCTAATTGTAGTACATTATTGTTCTCAATAAAGAATATATTTGTCAGTGATTTTTTGAATTGTAACCTCTCACTTCCTTTTGTGTACAAACCTTATCCAAACCGCAGAATTATGATGTATATATCAAATTGATCCGTAGGATTCGGGCGAAGAGAGTGGGCCAGAATCTGCTTCTGAATCGGAGAAGAATTCCGGTTCAGGTTCAGACAATGATTCTAAAAGTTCAGAATCATCCAAGTCAGGGTCGGGGTCTGGTTCTGGTTCAGGATCTGACAGGTAGAGTATTGTGCATTAACAATATGTTAAAAACTAAATACTTTTTGGGGGAACTTAAGGGGGAAGTTTAATTTTATAACGACAGCATTTGAATTTCCCACCACGAACGATAAATTGGAAATATTTTCTTCACATTGTAAAACTAGCCAAACATTAATGGATTTTGGGGGCCTATTACAGCTCTTCAGAGTCTTCAAAGTCAGGTTCAGGGAGTGGGAGTGGTAGTGGTTCAGGATCAGATGACAAATCTTCACCTGAAAAAAGTGAGCCTAGCCCCCCCAAGGTTCATGTGAAGAAATCTGAGGCATGTGCGGACCTTAAGCAGGTAAAGAAGAGCAGCCCATCTTCCAGTGTTTCATCTGAGGTAGGAGCCCCTGCACAGGTATTTGGAGTGGGGATTGAATGTATATTCCTGTATTCTGACTTGAGGGCCACTTTAATTTGTTGAATGTGACACTGTTTGTGGCTATTGTATTTCATGATTGCTAGTGTACCAATTTTAAATATAACTTGTTTAAATTTTGATTTCCCTGCAGTGCTTTTTGCCAACTCAATGTCAAAGAAACGGAAGTTTTAATATTCTAGTGCAGTGTTTCACAAACAAGTAGGCTGTGGTCAGGTAGTTGGCTGTGTGTGAAGTTATGATGAGTCACGATGTGTGCTCCTTGATCTTTGGCGATATTGTCTACTTTCTAGTGAAGATCTAATTATCGAAAAGCATTCACAATGTCTAGAAAATTATTTAGTGTTAATCAAATGACATGCAGTTATGAATATAAAACTTACATAATTTAGTGCATTATTTACCAGACAAGAAAGCATTCCATTTCCCCCAGTCATTTTGCCATCATGTTAAATGAAAAATATCAGTGGATCTGTGAGAAAGCATCCATGTTTTATGGAGAATTGGCTGGACTGCAAAGTCATGAAGGATGAGAATTTCTGTAGTTGTGGGTTAACTCTTTGTGCTAAAGAATAGTTTTTCAAATCTTCGTTCTAATTAAATTTTGACTGAGAAAATAAATATTAATATTTTACTGTGTTATTTTATATTTTATGGGTGAATTCCAAAAGGCACTGGAATATTCTTTATTCAAAAAAGCTTTTTTTAGAAATATCAATGTTTAAATAGACTTGTACAGATTTTGTAATTAGCTTATCAATGAAGGATACAGGAAATTGTTATGCACTGCTTGTGAGAGTGACATAATGCTTAACTAATTGGCAAGACAGTTAACACTGGACCTTGTACCGGGGCTCAGATACCAAATTTAATGTTGTAAAATTTGTATGTGAATTTAGTAGCACATTATCCTTTTATCAAGGTGTAACGGATTTTTATCTTCCTCATAGATCGTGCAGTTTTCCTGACATAATTAAAAATGTATTTTAAGCAGTTTGATATATTTGCTCTGCTCTTGTCAAATACAAAAGTATCCCTAATGTTAGTGAAATTTGTTTGGAAGTAATGTTTTTATTATGAGTAATAAAGTGATTGCTTTTGAGAATTGTGATAATAAAAAAGTTTTCTGTCTCGGGACAAAGGATAATGTGCATTAGTAGTGCATGCATGTATGAATGTGAATAATTTAATTAAATGATTGAGCAAAACAATAAAGCTTTCGTGCAGCATAGAAAAGTGATAATTTGCCTACTTTCACTGAAATCATTGCCTCCTATGTACTCAATAGCAGAAAATTGAATTTGGATTTCTTGAGAGCTGAGTTGTGGCAGCAGCAGAACAATGCCAAATTAACCTTTAGAAGTATAAAGGCTCTGGATTTTACATTAAATGGAACTATTTTATACACTTTTTATTGAGTTAAATCACAATAAAGGTAGCAAGGAAAATTTATTGTGAAGCAGTTTCAAAAAAATTTTGTCATTCAAATTTGAATGATATTCTTGCAAAGTTTTAATTTATCAAGGACTAACAGAAGCAAATGGGTTGTGGATTGATAGGAATCGAACATTCCCAGAAGGTTTTTTTTTTTTTTTTTATACAAATTCTTACTCCTTTACACAATTACACAGTATTACACAATTTATTTGCTTTTCATTAAAAAAAATTTAATTTATAGGTTACCATTTCATTTATTTTTAATGAATTTACTTCGGTATAACTCAGCAATTTGGTGTAGGGTGGGTGTATTTGCAAGTGTTAAGATATGCTACAAGGGGAAAGGTTAGGAAGCTCAGGTTTTTGAAAGGCTCGTAAGGAGACAAAACATTATTCACTTAGGCAATATCATAGGAAATGGATTAATTTATTAATAAGAAAGCATGTAAGTTATCCTTCATTATCTGTATTTTTAGTAAGCTAAGTAAGGGTGGTTTATTATGATTTATAAGAAACCATCGCCAAAACTCTTAAGCTTATTACTGCTGGATACAGACTTAATCCCATGTATCATCATATTTGAGGGAGAAAACAAAAATTTTGCATATTTCAATACAAGGCAGATGCAAAAGCAACTTGTGGCATGTTATAATTGTGCGTAGCTCTGATTCAATGCATCCAAGGCCCTCAAAAACAGCTTTTGTCTATCAAATGGGTTGCAAGAACATAGCTTGTACCAATATCCTGAACCAAGTTGCAAAAGAAAGACCTGAATTAGCTTTAGAGACTTTGCCTCCATTGATTATTAGATCTAAAATAATAATTGGTTCTATTTTACAGAAAATAATGGAGATGGGTTTCTGATATTTGTATTTCCATGATCACTTTGCAATTGTTGGAAATTAATGCAACTGAAACATATCAATGAAAAAAATACACAAGGGGTGAGACAAGGAAGTAGTCCATTTATTTTATTTAATATCTCAGTTAATGGAAGCATAAAGGAAAGGTGGTGGAAGACATGACGGAAGACCTCGCAAAATATAAAAAACCCTAATTCTTTAAAGGTGAAGAAGGAAAAAATGTAATTTATGAACTGATATTCTTATAATAACTTCCAGTACTAAATGATTAGAATATTCAATAATTAGGATTTGGTGTCTCATGTAAATTAAAAGTAATACATTTTATATACCCCTTCCCTTTTACCTTCCAATCTCAAAAAGGATATTCTTTCATTGCAATACATTAAACATCCAGGGCCTTTTGAAAGCATAAGAAACTAGTTTCTGTGAACGAGGCCATTTGAAAATATAGTTCAAAATATGAGGAACTGCAGGAGACAAATCAGTCTCTTGCAAAGTTGGAGATGTGATGCAATACTAATTGGAGACACTCAACTGTCGTACAAAATTAACCATTGCTGTGAAGTAAGTTATACCAGGGCTTCACGAAACATGATCAAGTGTCTTAGAGAATAATAAAGGTATGCATAATAATTTGTCCCCCACTTCCTTGAGTGCGGTATTTATACAGAATTAGATACAATTTTTATAATTTATTCCTTCTAGCCCATTACAATTCTGAATAATCAACAGGTAACTGACGTCCTGCATTTTTGAGTGAATCTATTGTGTGTTAGAAATAAATGAGCTTTAGGAATTAATGAAGTATTTTGATACAACAGGTTAACTCTTTTTAGTTCAATACAAGGATATTATTTGTTGAGTGATTTGCAAATTGTCGCGATTACTTTCCTGTTTCATATTCCACAATTGAGGGGTCGTACATAAAACACATCACCCTATTTTGACCTTCAAAAAAATTTCATTTGTTGCATCGTCGTTAACATAACACATCTCTTTAACCCTTGTGGGGCATTAAACACTTACATGGAGTAGCCCTTCTTTACTATCTGTGTCAAGTATGGTCACATTGCAGTCAGTTAGTGCCTTTTATCCCTTTACCAGGGGATCAACACCGTTCAATCCCTGGGCTCTTAGCCAGTCACACAACCAGGAACCTGTGAGTCTTGAATTCGCTTAACCTCTGTAACTTTTTGGAGCATACAGACCTGTGCAAATTATTAGAAAATTTGAAAAACTTATCAGTAATTTACTTTTGAAATATAATTATCACTATTTATCAATACACGATAATCTATTTAGTGTTTGGGGTGCATTCCCTTGTTTATAACGATTTGTGTCCTCAGGCATGGTTTCCACAAGGCCTGCATTTGTTCATCGTGATCTGTTTTCTGCATTTGTTCATCATGAAAACTGTATGTCTATGTTTCCAATGATGCGAATTCTGGTTATTATTTTCTTCAATTTTATCTCTACAATTCCCCATAAATTTTCAGTTTTGTTGCAGTCTGGTCTATTGCCAGGCCAAGATAAGGTCTTTGTTATTTTCTCCCAGAATTTATCAGGCTTGGCCCAATGGCATGGTGTTCGTTTGTGCATGAAAATGCAATATTTTTCAGGAAACCCATCTCTGATCTGAGGCAGCAGGGAGGTTTGAAGCACCTTTTTGAACTGATTCTGTTCCATTGGACCGTCATTCTTAGGTTTTGGCTGCTTTGTTTGGACACAAAAAATATGGATTCATCTGTAAATACTATCTGCAAGAAAATAAGCACTAATTATATTGAATTTTCAAAATAATGTTTTGAAACTATAGAAAATAAATCTGTACATCTCTGTATTGCATTTCTGAAAAAGTTTGAAAAATTCCACTTTACCGCTGAGAATGAAGTTGCCTGTTAGGAAACAGTAAATAATGAGATATATCATATTTCCTTAGGTGTTTCCCACTTATATTAACTTCAAAAGTATTCCTTTTGTCCATTTCAGCCATTTCTTAGTCATGATAGGAGTTATTTTTGCTTTATTTTGTGACCTTATTGCAGGAAGTCCTGCAACACAAAGATATCGTCTAACAATTGATAACTCCATTCGACTTTAGTTTATTGCTCAAGCTCTTACTGGTGTTTCTTCTATCCATCTTGAACTTTTGAATCCATTTTTGTTGCATACAAGAGCTCAGTGGGGGTTTTCAACTACATTTCCCTTTACATTTGACTGCAATGGTCTCACCTGATTTCAGTGCAGAACTGATTCTACAAATCAGTGCTTGTAGAAGAGTCAATTTCCTAGCAATATTTTGCTGAAAATATACGCCCTTCTTTATTGAACATTCAGTCTACCTTTTTCGGGGCGATAGGTCTGTATTTTTATCTAAAACTGAAGTTTTGCTAGAAGAAGCATTTTCAGATCACTGCTTCAAAAACTCAGCAGGAAACAAATTCAAAAAACAATTTTACTCAAAACTTAGATTAAACAGGCATATAAACAATATAAAACAACACACACACATTTATAGCAACAGTACTTCAATGTTTAAAATGCTGCTTCAAATAAGTGAGCCATACATGATACAGTCCACACTTTTTGCAAGACCTTTTTTTTTTTTTTTTTTTGATAATATTTTTAATAGATGGACATATAATTTGATAGTGAATATGATCATAGATTACAATATACACTAGAATATAGATTGAATATTTTAGAGTAAAATGTACATTGAAGAGTCAGAGAGAGAAATAACAGAAGAAATTTTTCCTTCACTTTCATCTATATTAATTTGAGATTTACTTTGAACAATTGGTACTAGGAATGACATTTTACAATAACAATTTATGTTGTAGAGATACATTTTATAGCAGGATGAAAGAATTGTTGAAATATGAATGCAGTTGATAACACAACTTGCATGAGCTAATAAATCATTAAATCTTTTTTTTTTTAAATAGAGTTATTTTAGATTTATTATATATTTTTAATATACTACGTTTGATATGTTAAAAAGTTACAAAATGTATACTTTTGAGATTAAATATCTTTATTAAAGAAATTTAAAAAAACCTACAAAAAAATGTTTTTACCGTAAATATCCACCATGATGTCACAAATTTTAAAAACGCTCTCCCGCTTGCATCACAATAACTACAAAATTAATGACCCCCTTCCCTAAGAGTGTGATGTAGTTTATATATGGCCTCTGACCTCTCATCCATTTTGTTAACAAATTATTTCTTAGTTGTTGGATTTTGGTGGTTGAAAAACCTCTCATCTTTGTCTTTTTCTTCTCACTTCTACTTTGGTGGCAAATACAGTTTGTCTATTTTTGTATGAAGGTTTTGTATAAATTTAGATTCTCATTGCGCTCTAAGAGTTTGCGTGAGGAACCCATTTTTAGGTCCGTTCTGCAAGTATATATGATGGTCAAATTTTTGCCAGTTTTTGAATTGGAAAAAGAATGGCAAAGAGGTGAGGTCAGTGGTGTCAGAGACCAAGGAAAAAGGACTGAAAGATTTTTTGCTCAAATTGGAAGAATTTTGTGAATAAAAATTGCAGTGCACAAACAATATAATGTAATGACTAGGGAACAGATTTTCATATAAATACAAAAATATTTTTTAGAGTTTACGAGACATTATGAACAAAATAATTTAAAAAAAAAATATTTTGGTATAATTGCATATTTTGCCTATTACTACAAGTTTCGATACTATTTAATGCATTTATATGTCAAAACTGAACATTTCAGATGTGCCTTTGTAATTTACCATATTACTGGAATCATTCCTCCCTTCTTCTTGAAAATCATGTTCTCAGGTTCAAAGATGAGCAGATATACATGTGAAGCAAAAGTAATGTCCACCTCATTTTTGTGCATGTTTCATAGACCTAATGCGTAATGTGATAATAAATCAAACATATATTTTTATTTCATTGTCTTGTGATGTTGAAATGGGTTGGGGGGGGGGGCAGATGTCCCTTCCCTTCTCTGTAATCCATCATGGACAGCATGGTACTACACTATTCACTATTCACTTGAGCACCATCTCACAGTGTATATAGTATGAACATATTTTATATGACGAAAGAAACTATACATTTACTTCTGCAATGGAAGAACTTTCTCTTGTCTCGAAATCCATGATAAGACTGATCGATGACGTTCTGTGCTTATAAAGTGGAATTTTAAACTCTGTAATAATTTTATTGGAAAAAATATATACATATGTATGTACTTGTTTAATCTTTTTTATTACAATAAATTCTGTTCCCTAGTAATTACTGACAATAATGGTGCTCTCATGTTTGTAGTGTGTCTCCTTCAATGTATCTGTACGTATTGATAGTTATGGATAATTTCACATTCTTGATAATGAAGTTAGGCCATGAGTTTCATTGTTCATAAATTGTAAGTGTATATATATATATCCCTATATTCAAAGTAATCTAATTTAAATATTAATGAGACTAGTCACAACATAACAAAGGATTTGTATTTATTTTCTCTAATTTTGATTACATATTAGATGCAGCATACATGACTAGATCCTAGAAGTACTTGTATTGACAAAGACAATAGACATAGAGACGAAATTTATTGGTTCTTTATTTCTAATATGCCACTACCAGAATGAAGAGACTTAGAGTGCTTATGTCAAAGATACGTCACAAGTGGTGGTATTAATGCGATATTGATATTGTATATATATATATATAATGCTAAAAAGATTGAGTGGAAGGTAATCAAAACACGTAAATTGATCTCTCATCATGAAAGATTTTATTGGTCGCTGACGGTAAGCACAGGTTACAAGAGAGAAAGTATATAGTTAACGATTATTTATGAAGAGACACACTACCTGTTTAGTATTTTATCCCCAATGGACTATCAAGGATGGAATTGGAGAAATTCCACCACCTAGTAATTGCTGGGTGAGAAGAGGCAAAGCTTTATTGCAGTGTTATGTTAATATAGTGGCAAATTTTCTAGGAGGAACCATTCAAATATTCATAAACTTCGAAAAATTTTATTTTGTGAGTGTTGTTATGTTTGTTTGTGTGTGTATATGTTGTGGTTGAATTGTTTGATACTTTTTATTATGAGATGGCTTTGTTCAGAGTGAATTTGTTTAATGATACGAAAATTGCATTTCATGAAAATTTTTATTATTGAAATATTAAGATTTTTTAGATCAGATAGCATGTCATACCAATATGATTATTGAATTCATGCACGTGTGTGTGTGTGCTCATGTGTATTTCTTAATGTACTAGTAAATTTCTTAATATAGTAAATGGGCACAAATATAGTTTTCAGTTGATTTGATCAACTTGCAATTTTTTAGCATGGGATAATATGAATATTTTTGGATTTATTGGAGAATTTTAGCACTATGAGTAACTTATTTATTTAATGAAAGAATACAATCATTGATGAATTCACACTTAATTTGGTGCTTTGTAGCATGTACAACTTGCTTAACGATGTCTAAAAATCTTGGAATTGTCTCGTTAAATTTATTTCTTACTAATGTAGTTTGGACTGCAAAACTTATCAGTTTATGAGACCTATTGTTAAATGTTTCCTTACTTTTTAATTGATAATCAAACATAATAACCTTCATTTTCATGTATGATGTGTTTTACTGTAGTGTTGGGAGGAAAATCCAGATGTCTATGGAATTCGCCGTTCAGGGAGATCCAGAAAAGAACCTGAAAGGTTAAATGCTGCAGAAAGTGATTCTAGTGACAAAGGAAAACGTAGAGCTACTGTTAGGAAGGCAAGAAAAAGGTAAAATTAGAGCATTCATACTGTGAAAATTATTTATATTTTTTAATGCATTACTATTATTAAGAGATTTTTTGGACTTGTGAACATTGGGTGATTTTTGAAAATATTGATTTCATTCCACATCCTCACACCCAAAAAGAGAGAGAATTATATCATAACTTGTTTTAGTGTGTTCATGAAAATTGAAATTTTTGAAGTTATGCACAGAAGAGAGGCTTTTGAATTGCATTGACTTTCTCTTACCATGAATTTTATGTATATTAAATACTTCAATGAATATTTAAGGTTTATAATGCAACAGAGCATTTTAATACTCGATACTTCTTTTTATTCTGTAAATTTTGTTTATTGATGTAATAAAACAATAGAATGCAATGTGTTATGGTGTTTTCAAATTTGTTGCAATTCTTCTTTTAAAGTTGTATAAAAAGTAGAGTTCTCAAAATATCAAAATCTCCAGGAAGATGTTGTAAAAGAACAAATTTAGCTTGCCTTTTCATTTAATGAAAGTTTTAATTATTATGAATAATTATTTTATTTTTTTGAATTTTCTTCAGTAGATCAGACACATGGAATTCAGAATCATCAGATTCTGAAGATGAAAAGGCTCCTCCTCCCAGAAGCAAACCTCCATCCCGCAAAGGAATACCTTCAAAACCCCGACAGAGAGTGGAAACTACTAGAAAGAGACGTAAATATAGCGAAACATCAGAAGAATCAAGTTTCAACAGTGATGAAAATGATTCACACAGGTTAATTTGTTTTGAATTCTTATTTTAACAAAATAGTTGGTTTTCTTTTTTGGAGGGGTGTATGTAATACCCTCTGATCTTTTGTCTGTTTCCAATGTTGACTGATGTGTGGTGAGAAAAGTGTTGTCTAATTTTTCTTATGATGTTGAAGATGATGATCTACATTATGTGAATAGGACTTGGAATTATCGATAAATTGGTGACATTGATTTGTTGATGAGTAGGGGCTTACAGTTTCTAAGATCAGTTAGATTCTTGGTGAAGCTACATTGAGTTAATAGAACTTAACATTTCAATCTTGAATCTTCCACATAACTTTATTTATTTTCATTTATTATTGTGTTTGTGTACAATCATTTTTACGTCTTGCTCAAAAAAGAGGCTAGTTAAACCTGTCTTTAAAATGCCTTTGTGTGTGATGCTTATTAATTAGTCTCAGTGCAGTCTCTTTTTAATTAAAAATATAACTTTCATAAAGATGAAAAAAGAAAAATAATGCAATAAGTACTGAAATTCTTTTTCTTAATAGTTCAACTAATGATGTGCTGTTATGATAGTTCTTGTTCTTTTCTTACAACATACTCTTAATACCTACATGTAAATAAGGCTCTACATACTTTATTTCATGGTCCATATGAAGACGAAACTATGGCAATTAATAGTCTGGAAGCGTTATGGAGGTCTAGAGATGTAATATTCTCGGCGTTCGTATTGGGTCCTGATGCGTACAAGTTAACATGAAGTAGGAAGGCAACGGAGAAAAAGTATAATGATCGGAACTGATCAGAGAAAGTCGTTCGCCCGTGGGAGGGAAGGTATGGAGCGTTACTGGGGAATAATGGAGTATAATGTCTAGTACGTGGACTTAGAGCTAAGTATGTACTTAAGCTACAGATTTTTAGGCAGGATCATCAGTTATAATAAGCACTTCTAAAATATGTGTTCAAATAGGATCTTAAACTTCTAAAATATCTATTCAAATAGGCACTAACAATTTATTATTATCAACTAATAATCAATGAAAGGAATATTGCACAGCAGGTACGGCAATAATCAAAATAATATTATGTACGATTGTGACAAAGAATAACTAAACTTTGCTCCAAGTTCTCCAAAGTAAACTGATGTATTTTGTCTGAAAAGATGTTCGTTAAGTGGGAGAAAGCTTAGTTGTATTCATCATTGTCATCATCATATATCATGAAGTTTTGAGGTTTAGGCCACTTGACCTGTTCCTTCTTTCCAGTATTTCCTCAATTGCTATTGAGGTGTTCCTGGTCCATCCTGGTTCTCTTTGCTGTGGCTTGTATCTCATTGCCATTTTTTAGTATTTGTTGATTTTTATTCTTTTGTGTGTTTATACTATTTTATGTGGTGCTTCTTTATTTCCTGGATAATGTTCTTGCTCAGATATCTTGACTCCCTAAATGACACTCCTGATCATGCTAAATGAGTTCAAAACACTACTGCCCCTACTGATTATACACAGCTTTCAAAATTCAAAATTCTACAGAAATTGTGTAAAACATAACACAGGATTATTGATAGCTGTTCAACTTTTTGGCAGTAAGCTGGATAAAATTGGAAACAACATAATATATAATTCAATTTTTATTATTTGACAGCCAATGACTTACGATATTTATACAAAAACGATATTTAATGAAGAAAACATTGAGGCATTTATTAGGCAAATAGGCCTCTAAAGGCATTGCAGAAATCATGTAATACTTCAAAGTATAAGGAATAAGTAACCTCAGAGATACATTTTCTGTTAGGAATGGAAGCAAGGAATGAAATACGCTTATAGGCAAAAATCTGCAGCTTTGTTATAGTAGATAAAATATCAAAAAAAATTAAGAACTTTGCTCATTGTGATGCTATGTGACTAATAAAAGGTTTAATTAAACAAGCAAGAATCTTATTATAAATATTCTGTGAGGATGTGATCTTGTTTGTTAGGATTGCTTCAAGTGTTCTACATAAGAATTTACAGATTAAATGCTTGAATTTTATACATTTACAAAATTGCTATGTTGCTAAAAATGCAATGCAAATGAGGATGCTTATATTTAGTACTTTACTTGCTCATTTATTCCATAAATAACTCTTATTCAAAATGTCCCTCATTCAGTATGTAGTAGTGAGTTTGGCTCTTATGTTAAATTACCTTGCCCTGTTTCTATGCACTTGTAGAACCAATCCTGTTTTACTTTCTCATACGTATGTTCATCGTACATATTTCTTTGTTAAAATGGTTTCTTTAAAACTTTTTAAAATATTTTAAATGAGATTTTTAAAATATTGACTATTTCTAACAAACCGTTTCTACTCAACTGAACAGAATTGTCTACATTTCATTACTGAGAAAAAGAAGATCAATATGCATGTAATTTCAGTTTGTTTCTTGTCTGTAGTATCTGGAGATATTCATTTTGTGGATGTTTCAAAGATCCGTAGCCTTTTTTGCCATCCGGTGTAATGAAGGCGAATATGCCAAAGTGATTTGGAAAATGTGCACTTATGAATTTTTTATTTTAGTGTAAATATTTAGTCACAAATTCGAAATATTTGGTCCCTCTGGAATCCCAGTCTGGGACCTGTTGTCCAGACAGATACTCTGAGCAATAGAATCAATCATTGCATTTGTGACAATTAATCGATCTTACAGTGATTTGCAAAGTTACTCATTATTCATTGATGCAAAAGTGAAAATAAATTTAATGGAATGACACTTTCAGGAATAACAATGGGTTTGGACAGGATGTATCTCAAGAGACAATTGATTCGAAGTGAATTAATAGTCCTAATCCTCTATTCTTTAATATTGAAAACGGATTGTCATCTTTCGTGGTCATTCCATTTTGTTCATCTTCACTTTTGATGCTAATTGAACTCTTTTACTCTTGAATTTTTATGCTAAAACAATATAACAATGGTTCATAACCAGTTCTTGAAATAATGAATTCCTTTGTAAATAAACCTAAAAAATCAATATATGAGTGATGAAAAAAAATTGTATTTTAAACTTAATTTCCTGCAGTGCCAGTGTATCGAGACATGGAAATCGTCGGGTTGCTGCCGGTGTTAGTTATAAAGAAGCAAGCGATGATAAGACTGACTCTGATGATTTAGTAGAAGTAGATTGGACAGAAACTACACCAGCTGAGCCTGACAATGCGGAAACAATCGAGAAAATAATTGCCCAACGACGTGGAAAAATTGGAGGTTTGTTTTCTAATCTTAGATGTTTTTAGAAATTAAATGTTTAGATTTAAAAATTCAACTATTTTTTGAGGAGAGTAATTTTGTTATTCGTTGTGTTTCCTCATGAGTTGGATTAAACTTCTCAAGATTCAGGTGCATTGTAATTGTATAGCTCTCGTCTATTTGATGATTCTCAGAGTAATAATAATCATTAAATATTTATTAATGCTGCCTTTATTAACTAATATAGTTGATATTGATTTTAGTCTCCATGTGGGGCCGAGATAATAAGTTTTCATTGATGTAGCCCTTCTTAGGATCACGGATCACATTGATTTTTCCATATGCATAGATGTTTGTCATGAATGTTTTGTGTCTGAGACCTTGCTATTTCTTTTATTAATGTTGTGCTAATGGTAATTAGTAAAGTGTCAAAAAATAGTTCACCCAATAGTGGTAAAAAGTGAAGTCGATTTGATGCTATAATGACCCTGAATATTAATGGTGTTAGTGCATCAAAATTTTTGTTTTCTAATATTATAGATGCAAAAGAATGTTTTGTACCACTGTGAAGAAATTCAAAGAAAATGGAAGAATTGGGTGTATTGTTTCAGAGAAAGCTTGAGCATAGTCTAAAAAACTTCAAGGTTCTAATACTCTGAAAACGTTCTTAATTTGTCTAGTTTACAGACCTGTGCAAAGAATGATCATACTTGTACTCAATTTCATCTAGATACAAATGGTATTAATATGATATTTAGAGGAATAAAGTGCTTTTAACAACTGCTAACAACAAACAGCGTCAATATTCTGCTGAGAAAATCCAAGTGTGTGTATGTCTAAGTATGAATATCTAGTGAAAAATATAAACAAAAGAACAGTATGCGAACTGCCGGTGCGGTCAGCCATAAGAGAAAAATATAGAAAACAATGTTGTAAATAAATTAACATATGCCTTCATATCACAATTTGAATAATACTACGGTACAGACAGCGTATAAGTGACTGACAGTTTGATGTGCTCTTGTAACACATTACTACTCTCATGGCACCATCTACATCACAGATAAATTAAATTTCGATACTTACCATCAGGTGATTACGCATCTTGATATCATGTACATAACCTTTGCCACATCCGAACCTTATTGCCTCCCTGACTGTGTGCGAGTCAGATGGGCAGCAACACTGAACCCGTGCTGTGAGAAAGTGTAAAAATAATTGCAACCTGATTGCTTCACAGCAGGCCACATGACATACCTCAGCATGGGTATGAGAACTGTCAAAGTCTCTTATATGTTGCCACTACTGTAAGGATTGGCGTCAAATATTCAAAAACCTGTGTAGGTAATCAGTTTCAATTTATTTTACAAAACCGTTGCTAATTAGTTGTGACAAATAAAATCTCTCCAATTTAAATGTAATGTAATTTATATAGAAGCATTTTTCGTTATTTTTATACTTTTAAATGTTTAAATTTATTTACATTAAAAATTCATAATTTTTTCTCTGGTATTAGAATCAATTTGTTGGCAGGAATTGAATTCATTTAAAAGAATCAAAATCTTTAAATTAAATTAAAATGATGATATTTGTATTAAACTTCTAGGATTGTAGTCCCATTTGAAAAATAGTTTTTCATTTTGGCAATGAAAATGAGTTTACAACTAGACTGCAGGCAATGGAGCAGAAGCATAATAAGAATGGTTTTGGTGTCTTGGTATCACATAAAGTAAATTTTTTATATTTTTTTTTCCTCCTGCTCTTCCTTTTAAAGTGTAAGGAAATAAAGCTCTCTAAAATGTTAATATATTAATTTGCATTAGAATTATTATAAATATACTAATTTTAATAAATTTTACAAGCTATTTTTAAACCCAGCAATACTGTGGTATTTTATTTATGACAATCGTCTAAGAGAGGAAAAGGAACGAAGTCAATCTATAGTGGAAAATAGAAGTTATTTTATTTATATCCCTGCCTCCCTCTTTTGCTCCACCTCAAACAAGTTCTGCCCACCATACTTTGCTCCCCTCTCCCTTTCGTAAGCTAGATTTTGATTTGTCGTACGTTTCTCATCTCCCTTGGAAATATAATGATTTTCAAAAATATTTTCAGTCACAGGAAATCAGACTACTATTTATGCTGTTGAAGAAAATGGTGATCCTAATAAGGATTGTGATCCCAATGACTTGGAAAGCACAGAACCACAGTTTCTCATTAAATGGAAAGGATGGTCACATATTCATAACACATGGGAATCTGAAAAGTCTCTCAAGGATCAAAAGGTGTGTTTTTAGAATAGTGTTGTGTTTTAAATAATTAATACTTAGAGCTAATGATTATGTTGTATATTTATTAATAGTGAATTAAGCCCTGATTTTTATTATTTTTTATTTAGACAATAACAATGATCTAATATGCTTTTTAGGTAATAATTTTGGGTTTGGAAAGTGAGATAACCATATTTATGTATTTATGTTCCACAACACTGGTCTACAAAATAATTACAAATTTTCGTTCTCATTTAATTCCATTCACCCATAATTGAAGGTATCAGGTTGTATTGTCATTGTAACCTTATATCTAGTAACTTCTATCTAATTTATCAGAATTTGCATAATGACATTCAGCATAGTTGTTATGTTTTCTTGTTGAATATGTAAGTAAAATTAAAGGAGCATCATTTGAAAATTATTACAAGTGTTATTCATTAAATGTTAGTGTACTGTTTTGGTAAGGTCCTTCAAACAATTTATTGTATCAATTTTTTTGAATAAGTGTATCACAGCGGAAATAAATTGGAATGAATTATGTTGGTTTTCCATGATCTTGTTCCAATTTATGTGTCCAACAATGTTCTAGAGCTCAAATTTGTAATAGCTTGTTTTTTGAAAATGTATGCTGTAAGAACCCAATATTAGTCAATGAGAGGCCTGCTCATAAATTTGCATGCATATATAAATGCAGATTTGTGTGTATATTAAAGTACTACTCTTTTTATCATGAATAATAATAAATAGTAATAATGTGAAATACATATATCCTCATTGATTAATATTCCTTCCCATTCTGGGCTTGCCCAGTTTTAAAATTTTTGTGATCAACAATGCTCTCTAATTAGGGTTTGCCATTATTTACGTATTTTCAGGGCTGCATCATTTACTTACTTGGCTTTGCTTGTACAAGAATTCCGGTGGTAAAATTTCTAATATTTGGGGAACTGTTATTTTATTGGCTATTCCCAGGACACATTAAAACAATTACGAAGCAATACCACTGAATTCAGATTTATTACAGTACTGCAACAATGCCTTCTGTAGTTTAAATATCAAATATCATCTTATGTGAATTTTGGAATTCAACTCAGCTTGGCTTTATCACTTCGTAGAGTTTTTACCTAAATAAATGAGTTTTCATTTATACTCGATATGGACAAGCATCACACTCATACATGTTCAGATCTGTTCTAATTTAGTTTTTGAAATTTTTGTTTACTATGGCCATATTTACTTTGTTCATAACTTACTTAATTTATTACTAATATTTAAGAATTACAAACATTCCTGATCTTGTACATGAAATGTGGAAGTTCTCTGTATGAAATTAATTATGTTCACTTCCCTGTGGTAGCAGACATTCAATGCTCTTGGCCAATGGTCGAGGATTCTCGTACACTTTATCCTACGTGGCTGTGACTCCGCTCCTCGAATGTACTTATTTTCTACATATTACTATTGTGTTAATTTCACAGACAAAATATCGTCTTATCGTGATATTCTGCATACATTCTCCTTCGCTGCTTCTAATTTCTTTGTATCATGTCATTACATGATCCATGCTCCCAACTATTTATTCTAGCTGATGACTAACACACCTCTCTCTTGCTCAGTCTTGCACCCATCTGATGATTTTCTCTTGCGAAAAATCCTCCTCTATGAATTGTTTTCTGTCCGTATTATTTCAATAGCATTTGGATGCCATGCTATCTTCCTCCTGTTGCACAATACTAATCCCCTTTTTTTTTAATTATCTCAATAATGTCTTATTATTAAATTAACTTAATAAAATTTTAATTTAAATACCCATATATTTTAAAATATTCTTTAAATAAGTGAAGTAGACCACAGAAATGTCACTTTCATCTTAATTTTCCCAAGTTATACGAATTTATCATCATATTTATGTGTGTGTGTGTGTGTGTGTGTGCGTGCGAGAGTGCGCGCGTGCGTGTGTCTATATACACAAAAATATAAATAACATTAATATATTGTGTGTCTAACACAAAATGGACCCACGAAAGGTTATCCTACCCTTTGCCCACTGGCAATCTAAGGTAGAACCATATGTGTGGGAGGAGAAATTACCTGCCATGGACACAACATACAAAATTATGTAAATTATGTTCCAATAGAGGCTTATAATAAACTTATTTTTAATTAAATTACATGAATTGCTAACTTTTTATTATATATTAGTGTTCAGAATTTTGGAAATTACTTTTCCGTTAATAGAACTGCAACCTCCAGTTTGTTGGGACACCAGCCACCATCACAAATTGTAAGAATTTAGTATTTAATAACAAGAATTTAAGATCAATTTTATGGATTAGTGTGAGCTCTGAGGTACTCCTGATGTTACATTTATCTGTCTAGGACAATGACTTTTGTATTTAACGTTTTCAGTTCTCATCATGATATAAGATTTCATTCAATTCAACAATGTGCCATAAAGACCAATGTAATTGAGTTTTTGTATTAAAATATTTATATTCACTTTATCAAATAACTTATTAAAATTAGTATATATGACATCAACTTGTGAAAGATCATCAATTTTATCAATTGTCAAGTATTGAAATGACAAAATATTAGTTGTAATTGATCTCTTGACTTCAAAAACCATGTTGTTCATCTATAATAATATCATTTATGAGTGTTTAAATTTTTTATGTTACAATGGATTCAAATATTTTTGAAATAGTGCTCATTAATGATATTGGTCTAAAGTTTCTAATATTTGAACAGTTTTCAGATTTATATATTGAAGAAACAGAACTTGTAACCCAAATAAAAATTCAATATTATTTAAGGCAATTTTTTCTTGAAAACGTAAAAATGTGAGAAAATTGTGCTATGATCATGAGTAGTGTTCAATGTTGTTAATTTCAGAGTATTATGAAAAATCTGTAATATTGGTAATTGTACGTTCAATAGGGCCTGAATATTGGAACACAGCACATATAATATTCCATTTGTAAGGCCGTGGACACCAGGGCTGTTTTAACAGCTTTGGGGAACCTTTGGGCTTATGTTAATTTCGGGGCTTCCTATTCTTACTTTCACGGATCCAACAAAACAAAACTAAACATTATGTGACCTTCTTGTATCAGCCTGACATTTCATACTCTAAATATTATCCAATGATGCGCCAGTGTCACTCCGTTCTGACAATTTTTTACATATAGTTTAATTATTCATCACATTTTTATAGGTATTTTTATTTTCTGAAAAATTTAGTATTAAATATATTTTTTTTAGAAATATCAGGGACCCTTGAACATTGGGCCGGACACTTCGGGTGTCGGGTCTGGGTGCCACCCCAGTATACAGAGTTATCGGTGATGATGTGAAATGTTCAGAGTCATTTCATTGGAGAAGGGACGCTGAAGAATTCTTCATTAGTTGCTGAATTAGATGTTTTCAAGAAAGAAAATTTACTCAATGAAAAACACAAACGTTGGTCACCAAACTCTTGCTGCAATTCGATCTGCAGGAAACATTAAAGAAAAAACTGATTTGCAATGCAGATGAATGCGTGACAGCTTTACAAACATTTTGCAAGAGAAATGAAGGTGAAATCCCCTTGACTTTTAAATCTGCAAAGAATCTTGTGTTCTGTGATCCACATGTGATAACTACACCACTACAGTTGCCAACAAAAGACAATCATCACTCCTTGGAAATTTTATACTGAAAGGATGGATAACGGGAATTGTAGTCAGCAACAACTGGGAAGGTGGGTGACTGTTCTGTCTGCGCAGAGATAGAATTTGCGATGTTGGCTGGTGGTTGATGTGTTTGGATGTTTATTGGCTGCAGTAGAACCACAAGACTAAAAATGCAGAATGAACGAAAACTCTGAGGCCTTCTGAGCTGTTATGCAGTGTAGTGGAGTCAAAATTGAAAGATACTTTACAGATCTGTTTTAAACCCAGGATAAATGATGTTTTCAGAAGCTAATCAGAACACGACAGATTGGATTGATAAAAAAAAATTCTTTTTGGGTTTTGATGGACATAGTGAATGGTTAAAATTTATTAAGATGATGCTTCTTTTATCTCATGGTCAGGTTGGTGTCGAAAGGGGATTTTCCATCAATAAGGAATGACTCGTTGAAAAGTTGGCAGAAATGTTTTTTGCTCAAACACAAGTTTGGGGTGGTTTTATATAAGCAGGAGGGATTACACAGATTAAGTTAACTAAAAGAATGATTCATTATCCTAGAAATGCTTCAGCTATCTATCATGTAAAACTGGAACCGTATTTATAAATTATACTTGTAATTTTTCATTTTATCAACCTTTGCCTGTTTTGAATTTCATCTATTATGCAAATAATTTATAAACAAAAACTGGAATATATTTTTATTGTGACTAGAAAGCCTGGAAAAGTCAGGGAATTTTGAAAATCTAGAGCTTGTGAAGCCTGATTAATAAAATATTTAATTATTACAAATGCCAATAAAACACAAATAATGATTAGATATTGATTACGTAACAAATAAAAAAACTGAAATAATGATATTATCAGGGCATATTGTTTGTCTTTCTCATGAACTTCGTCCATCTGAAGAGTGGGTAATAAATATTGGTATATTGTCAGTCCTCCATGAAAGTTCACGGATATAACATTGATATAGGCGATCCGCTAGCGGATATAACCTTGATATAGGCGAAAACATCCACTAGCGTGATTACCAAGACACTGTACTCTGTATGTGTTTTGTGACGGTGTCACTCCTCCAAGGGGACAGTTATTTTTCAGGTCAACTAATAAATACCAAACACCCAAATGTACATACACAATACAGATGATCCCCAACTACTTTCAGTTAAAATGCTAATCTCATACAGTATCATCAAATAAGTCAAGCAGATTACTCAGTAACTGACACTTAATGTTGCAGATCAATACTTCTAATTCCTCTAACCCATATTAAATTCCCTTTCTCTCCTTAGTATGTGTGCAATATGTAGTTGGTATAGATAATGTTTTCGTCCATATGGTCCGTTCTTTGTTCTTCTTATAGACTTAATTTGTGGTGTCGTGTTGATTTGTTATACTTTCGTAAATCTTTTCCGAAAGGGTGCTGTTACATTGAAAAGGAGAGAACTTTCAATTTATTGTAGTTTGAATAGATTGGCCAATATTTGAAAGTTGATAACTTAAAATGCCTAAATTGCATTCTTTTTTTTCAACCAGACGGATGATACTTTTGGGTTGTTGATTAAGTCTGTACTTTTAATATTTCGAAACGTAGATGGATTAAGACGGCATGATAGTGTGAATTGGTTGTTTCAGGTGGCTAGCAGTAATCTCGCAACGTGTGTTTTCCCAGGGCAGAGAGTGTGTAAAAATTTATATATGCGTTGGAATCAACGTCTCGAAAATAAATCTGTATGCGTCCCGCCGCATTGGGGAGCTGAGACGAGTACACACTATTGGTCACAGAAAACACAGTACAGAGCTATCAGTGTCTGGGTTAGACTTGTCGAAAAGGGTGCAAGTCGCCGCAGGGGCTCTTAGTGTTGAGCAAGAACTAATTGATATTAAATAACGAGCGCTGCTATGCGAATGAAATTTGTGAAAAGATTGGCGACGTATTATCGGACTAGTGTTTGGGGCGTCCGAATGGATCGCCTTATCTAAGTGTTGATTATCCGTTTTCATGAGAGGACTGACCAGATATGGTACTACATAGCTCAATACTTTTGAGATATACACAAAGCTCTTACAGTGCTATTGCTTTGCGACTGAATTTAGAAGTTCAATGAGACAAAGACAAAGATAATTGCTCGTTAATCACAACCATGTAGCTAAATAACTCATTCTTATTGTAGTGTTTCACAGTATTTTATTATATATATTTAATGGTCCAGTGTGATGAACGTGCAGTTCGTTTCTTATTTCGATACTCATGGCCTTGGTGTTTTATTAGGGATAGTGTGTATTACGGCAAAAATCTCAAAACTATATGTTTTATGGTTCAGGCTTTCGTCACAAAGCTACGTTTAGATTTTCGAATAGAGTAATTCCTATCTCATGGGACTTAGCCTGATTTTTTTCCAGGCTTTTTCTACGTCACAATAAAATATTATTTTCCAGTTTATTGTTTATAAATTATTTTAGTTTAACTTATAGCCATCACATATTTGAAAAACAATCTCTGTAAAAATCATCAGCTGTAATATTGCGGCGCCACCGCTTTCTTTAACTAGTGCATCATTCATCTGTGTTAAATTTTGACCCAAGTTAATTTATATAATCAGAGGAATGATGTTGGCGCAAAGACGCGGTCCCTTTTTGGGCCCCCCAATAGTGGTTTATTGCGAACTTTGTGTGTTATATTGAGTAGTAGAGTATAGAGGGAGCTATAAGCAATTTCTGTGAGGGATAAGTATGAATGCGTGTCTCTTGTTATGCAATCGTTAGAAGCTTGATTACTATGTGGTGCCATCTCTCCTTCTTCATCTGGGCGTCTGAGGTTATGAGGAGACGTATTCCCCCAGACAGTCTAGGGTGGCAGATTGAGCGTAGAGGGGAAGTTGAGACATCTATGTTCTGGTCACGGATACTTTTGGTCATGGAGCGATCATTCCTTATTGATGGAAAATCCTTCGACACAACCTGACCATGCAGATAAAGAAGCATCTCTTAATTAAATTTCTACCATTCACCTACTGTCCATCAAAATCCAAAAACGAATTTTCTTTTTTGTTCAAGGCAGGAGAGCCTCTCTATTATTTTCTGTCGTGTTCTCTGTGTGTATTTAGATTCTGATTAAATGTTAGCTTATCATTAATATCCTTTGGGTGTATAAAAGACGGTAGTTCGTGTCGTTTCAAATAACGTTGTCATCTCTTTTCTCAATTGTCTAACTCCATATCAAATTCGTCACTATGACATAACAGCTCCTAGATAGCCTCAGAGTTTTCGTTTTGTTTATACTCGCTGTTTCCTTGTGTTTTATATTAGTTTCTCTTGTGTGTCATATGTAACTGCAGACCATTGATAAGAATACCCTACAAACAAAACTTTTAATCAAACCCATGGCCAACATAACGCAAGAAATTTCCAGTTATATGCATGACAACTTGCGCTGCAACACATACAGAAGGAACTAGTTTACGGCCCCACTTCCTTCCACCGAATATGTCTCACCTTTGACTACAATA